GACACTTTGTTTATGTCTGTGTATTCTTGGTAGCATTGCCGGTGATATCCCCCTTTTGGTCCCTCATTCCAGTAGTCCTTCATTATCAACCAGATTTCATCCCTTCTCCGAGTCGAGCAGCTTTCAAACTTTTCCCAGCTTTTGCTAGTAAATGCTGTTAATTGACCTTGAACATTTTCTTTTACACGACAAAGGCACCTATTCCAGTTAGGTTTCTGTATCGAGCTGGACATTGAGCGCTTTCTAGTACAACTTACTGGCGTAATTTCTGCCATATCCTTGATTACACTAGCTTGTTTTCTGGAACTCTTCAAATGTCACTAGAGAATTAAAAGAAGCAAAAAATCTTATTTTCTTAACACAAGCAAAAACGGATTGAAAACATAACTTCTACGTTTGATTTGACCGCTTCCACGCCAAAAACTTCAGTATCGATGTTGTAGTGAAAACAAAATCTGACAGACTACTTACAGTTATTCTAGTAATGTTCTGTAGGAATTTTAGCTTTTAAAAAATAAAATATATTATACAGAAACTTAGAGGCGTTACTTGAGTTTATCTTGCACAACGAAGAATCGAAATTAAGAGGAAAATCTATATAAAACCACCATTCGCTTACCATTTTGTCTGCACACCATTTTTCAAGATGGCCGCTCATGGATAATAAGTTTGAATTGCATCATGGGATATACAATCTGGAATGGAACTTTCATGGAATAGCGGACACTGGATTTTTATCAAAATGTGCCGGCTTTTCTTTCATTTAAAAATAATAGAAGAAAACACTTTACAGATTTTGGTCTGTCCACAAGTCTCAAATCTATTTTGAGTTTTTATTTTTTTTCTTTGCTATTAAAAGAATTACAACAATTGTGAAACAAATGAACTGGTTGACTTGCGGGAATATTATTGAGCCTTAAAGCCTGTGACATTCTTCATAGTTCAAAAAAAATAAATAGTTTACAAAAAGGATGACGCTAATAATGCTTTGGTGTTCAAAAAATAGTGTCTGTGAAAAATCCTGTTCATAATGTACATATTAATGTAATATCCCTGTTTGAAATATTTGCCTAGCAACGGTTACCATGGTAACACCCTACTGAGATTTAGACAAAGACGAGTACAGCACTTTACTTAAAATAAACTTTTCGCCAGTTTCCTTCATATGGGATCAGCAGTTTTTGAAGTATTTATATCTACATTTTTTAGGAAAATTTGTTCCTTTAAATTATTGTTATTAAAAGGGGTGATCAGTTGAGACGACTGATGCGGTTCTAAATCTCAAAGGAAGGTGTCACATTAGGATGCAGGGCTAGTACAGCATCACAGTAGTTTTTTGGCATGAGAGATTTCATAATACCATGTGTCTACTACTTAGGATATAGTAGTTTTACGGTAGATAGGAATACCACGACTGTAATATGGGTTACAGACAGATACAATTCTAGTTTAGTCACATTCTCACTTGACATTGCAGTAGCAACATTCACTTTTATTGCACTAGCAATCATTTCCCTCCCTCGCTCCCTGTAGGGTTTTATTTTGTTCTATTCATGGACAGTGTGATCACTTTTATTATTTGATTGAGGTTGTTTTAATTTTGTCCATGAGCCAAGACATCTTAAAAACAATTTTCGTGGCACCCCCCGTAAGACATAGCGAATTTGGTATCAAATTAAAGGTTATTGTATATATTTTAATAATCTACCTGTTACTTTCTATGTAACCTGTGCCTACGTGAGAAAATCACTTGTTTCTGAGGGGGGTGAGGGGACGGTTTTACATTTTGGCACGAATACTTTTTAAGGCTTAAAACAACAAATATATATATTTTCTTGTCTTGTGAAAAACCATTCTATTAAATATTTTGACACAAACAATAGTAAAGTCTGCAAGTCTATCAGGTCATCTATTTCATTTGTCAAAGCTGCTTTTTAAAATACAATTGTCAAATTATGTTTACGTCCTCTCAGTGACTATTTTACAGCTATTAGAACACGAATACGTCCACTTGCATTATTTTCATTCGCAATGAGGTTTTGCAATTTGCAATAAGCAAAGACAGAAGTTCGTTAATGACTGCTTACGACTCTTCGCGAGCGCAACTTCTACAAATTTTATTTTTATCTTTGACCTTCGCATATTTCCAGCATGTGTGACGATTCAATATACTGGAAATTTATATACAGCAAGAATAATTAGCATTAAGATTATCATTATCAATCCTTCTATCGAAATTAGATTTTAGCGCGTATGGTATTGCGCCTGAAGTAGAATAGAACAGACTTCTCCAGGTCGAAGCTGTGCTCGCAGAAATTACTCCAAACAGGACTTCTTAATACCTTACCACTTAAAATGTATCGCGGTATTCAAATTCCCTATTCTTCCAATTCGATCAGAGTCGTCGAGTTGTTTCTAGTCTCTTGAAATATTATCAGAAATCCACGGGTGTTTACAGAAAGCCTTCTCGATCATTAACATCCCGATATTCGTAAATCGAACGTTATGACGCATAAAATAATCTCGATTAATCGGCTCCGTATTGCTGTTACTTTTGTTCAAGGTACATTCCACCCAAAGCACTCGACGGCTATTTGCTTCGAAGTTTCTTAGTCCTTTCGCGGTCAAGTCAATGTTTTGGTTGAGCTCTGAGCCAATCAGATTGCAGGAAATTACATATCCAGATCTGGTTGTGGCCCGGAATGTCTGTAGCCAGGGACTTGATGGCTTGTTGCGGTTGTCAAGAGGGGGCCTGGGAATTATGATCCCAGAGAGAGGATTAGGACCTCTCTGTAGCCTAGGGACTTGATGGACTCATGGAAAGGAGGGAGAGGCTTACCACCTCCCAGGGCCTGGGGATCAGGACCCCAGAGAGAGGATTAGGACTTCTCTTTAGCCTGGTTGTTGTGTTGTTGTTGCGTGATAATGTTCTCATTGGGTGAGTCCTCTGTTTCGGAGCTAACCTTTCTTGTTGTGGTTGTCCCCAGGGGACCTGGGAATGTACTGTTGTCATTGTTTCAATAATTGGGTTGAAACCATAAATAATACAGTTATTTTTTAGTAGCTTAAAAACAACAACCATGAGCATGTGTATTCTGATTTATCGATAAGGAATTTTTTAAAATTTTGTCAATATATATTGGGTTCTCACATCTCAGTATCTGGCCCTGACTTGATAGATACACCAGTTGGATCCAGTTTGTGTAATTAGTCAATTAATTGTGCTTAATTTACAAACTGATCCTTTGTTTTCTTCTTTGTTATTGCATATCTCCTCATCTGCTGTGGAGGAAGTCTTAGGTCCCTGACCAACTTGTTGCTGTTCCTGGTTAAGTCCTCAGCTGATACCTAGTCGATGGGACATTTGCCGAGTCTAATCTTACACGCAATGTTCAAGTACCATGTGACCATTGTTGCAAGTGACATTTGACTCTGGAAATAGCCCTACCATTCCTGTTGTTCGTCTATGGGTAATACCCCTTTGGGGTATTTGTGGGGATGAAGTGCTCCCATACAGGTCACACTTTGCCCCATAGACTCTTGCTACTCCTTAAACCGGGGAATTAGACATCTAGAGAGGTCTGTCCACCTCTCCAGTACCCAAGGGGGATTATCACCTCCACTCACAACCTTGGGGGATTTTCAACCCCGAGAGAGGATTATCACCTAGCTTCTCACTATTCTGGGGGATTATCACCTCCAAGAGAGGATTATCACCTCTCACTATCCTGGGGGATTATCACTCCCTAGAGAGGATTATCACCTCTCCCCTTGTAGATTTCGGACTGTTACATCAATATGTAGAGAAAAGTGACCTGCTGTCCATATTTGGAAGTACTTCATCCCTTACCCCTTTTCCCCATAATAATTCTGGTCTAGTTACTTGTTTTTATCTAAGGGGTTATGGGTTGAGAGCATTAATTTCTATTATTTTCCCCTCCAATTAACCCGAATTAATTAACACCCTTCTGGACTCCGAATGATCTTGTTTTTCTGACTCAACAGGTTGCTTTCACGTTTATGGACGATATGTTGGGCGCATTTATATTCTTTGTTTTTTTAATCTATTAACTCGGTTGAAAGGAACTTGTTTTTTAAGTGTAACATTTTTTATATTGGCCCGGTGTTCCGGTGTATAAATTTGATTAAGAGACACAGATGGGTTTTAAAGAAGCACAGCGCTGCATTATTGGGTTCGATAAGAAAAGTTTAATAGATGCATTCTGCATACTGTATACATAACATTGCATAAAGGACACTATATTTAGTTTCAAGTCTCCTGAGATTAACGAACGAAAATATTTGTGTTATATATGCAACTTTATAGTCTTTACTTCTTCCCCAGAGCACTAATGACAGTCTGCCTTTTCTTTAGTTGTGTTACTTTTCTTAAAAGTTGCATTTGATTTTTTGATCTGATTGGAAAATTTCCTTTTTTAGTGAGATGGGAGTTGGCAACATAGTTATAGAGGGACGTTATGCCTTCCAGTGTACTGTCAACTACCGTTGCCTCAATTAGCTGCATGGTACTAAAGAGAAGGCCTGTTTCATGAGTAGTCCATGTTCCGGCTGACGGGTTTGTACTATTAGATGCGAGATACTCCGCACTCCGCCTCTTCTTGAATGGTACAGGACTTTCACGCTTTCTGTTTGCTGGGATTTTCACTAAATCGGTAACTTTATCCGGCTTGTTGTCACAATTCCCGCAGTTCCTGCATGAGCATTTCAGCCCACAACATGCTCTTGCGCGTACACATGGACATTTGGTTTTTTTTTCCCATCTACACAAGCGACGTATTCTAGATTTTCTCTGCTTTTATCGACTCCACACCTGCAGGATAAGCTGTTAGAGGTTACTTTGCAAAGTTCCTGGCTTTCTTTGTTTCTGCATCCCTTGCACCTACAATCTCGTGTACAGGAAATACGTGTCTCAACACCGGGACAGCGCGTCTTCCCATCCACGGTCGAAATACAAGAGTCCTGATCTTCTTTATTATTCTTGCCACACGAACACACAAGTCTCTTTGTCTCTGGTAGTGTCGACACTGTGAAAAAATATATTGAAAGGAGATAACAATAAAAATCCGTTGATCTTTCAACTCTTTAGCATTAAGAAATGACTCAGTACCTAACTTTTAGGTAATTTCGCAGATACTAAACTTCTCGATTTTGGCGAGACAGTATGTACTATATTAATCCAACTAGTGGTCTATCAATGCTGCGTTCTGATTAGTTGAGCTACTACTAGGCTATATGTTATAGCCCACTGGTAGCGAAAAGCGCCGGCTTTTGGAGGCAAAAAAGTCTAGCTTTAACTATCGTTAAAGTTGTTTTGTCTCGATATTTTTGGCCAACTAGTTGGACTCTACTAAAACAATTATTCCTCTCGCCTTCATGGCCTCTGAGTAAATAGTCCATTCGGCCTTCGGGCCTCATGGGCTATTGACTCTGAGCCCATTCGGGCTCAAGGAATTTGTTAAATATTCTTATAAATTGTGGTATTTTTCGCGGGTTTTAGTTTCCCTTTTTGAAAAGAAAAATAAGAAACCCCCCTCAGGGGATTTACTTTTGATAGACGGCGTATTGATAGGATTTCAAATCACGGGTCTTAACCTTAGGAATTTGTAAGTCTTAAATCGTGAAAAACGCGAGATAGAATATCCGAGAAATTAAATACCAATAGGACATATATTTTACTATTCTGCGTTTTAAGGATAACCCTCAGAAATTTTACTAATTCTCCTTATGTTGATGGGACTTTTATTTAAGATTTAAAAGAAACTTTCCCCCGAGAATATTATAATTTTTATTATTGATCCTCCCGTTAAACTATTTATTTTTTGGGATTTGTGGCTCTGGGGGAGCATCAAAGTTTAAAACTTTGCAGATTTTCACTCGTCACAGGGCAACAAGCACACTAGCTCTCTTGTTGCCGGGCTTAGCCATGTTACCTGTATCTTTTTCAGCAGGAAGGGTGCCATCATAGTGCCCTGGTCCTAATGTGGTATATGCTATGTAGATGGCATTGGTGATCAGTGCGTCGTCGGGTATGAATGGCACGTAAGGGGAACCATTGATACTGGTCAGAACAATTATGGGGACTTGAAGTAGGTCAGAGCATACTTTTATAATCAAATCCCCCACTTCACCGCAGAATGTTCCAGGTTCTCTAAATCTTTCAGTCTCCGTGTTCATTTCGTCAGAAGGAATGCCAGAGAGCATTTGATAATGTTCGTTGCTCTGAACATTATTGACAAAAAGTTGACGGAGCTGATTTACATCTTCGTTGGTACTTCTCCCAAGTCCCAGGTACGAAATATGCTGACAAAGTGCTGAATTTGGGTCACTCCATTGGTTTGTCTTTCTCACTTGAGAAATAATTGTTCTAAAGGCACAATCTCCGTCACCGACGACTTTATCCCTTTTGAGACTAAAACAGTCGAGATTTCGCTGCAGTGTTTCTCTGTGTCTTCTTTCTGTGTCATCTTCAGCATAGCAACTATTGACTAAGACTTGTTTACTACCCACTTGCATTATTGGAATATCAAATGCATTAAAACAACGATCCCGGCATTCGCTGTTGACTTTACCTAAAATCGAATGCAACTTGGACATGTTTTTGAAAAGCAGACTGGCGATGGACTCGTTAAGAGTGTCCTCGATGGTTTCAATGACTACTACAGCTTCTTCAACAGTTTCGTCTGGGTATACATTATTTCCTTCGTATGGTGGCTTCCAAGCCTCGACGTGTAATGCGAGAAGAGTGGCACGAAGGGAATTACTCTTGAATTCTGCTTACGTTTTTTCGCGCTTTTTCTGCAGTTCATACTATTGAATAATAAACTTATAATAGCAATTGTTATTTCGGGAGCCGTGGTAGTAGCACCGCATAATAATGATTTATTTAATGTGTTATGAAGCCTCTCATTGGATTCCGTTCCTTTACCCGGTTTTAAGCCAGATAAACAACCTTTTTTGATATGCACGCTTAAGTGGTCGAGTTCCAAACGTGCCTTCTTCATTTCTTCCATGTTCAAGAACGATTTCCACTGTTCACGGAGAGAATGCAAATTTTCAGTTACCACTTTCCAATCAGGTGTGGGTAGCTGACGGACCTCGTCGCAGTCTCCATTTGCTCGAAATATCAGACCCAATTCTTTTGAAAATCGTTTGGAAAACTCAGATCCCTTTGGTATCTTTTTGATGACTCGTTGAATTGCATGGAATAAGTCTAGTTTTACTTCTACATCTGGAAAAACTGACCTGTAGAGTGTTCTTACTTTGCAACAGTCGTCCACTATAGTACTGGGTTCGGTGACGGTTCAAAGCGTTTATAATTAACCGATGACGGTTTTCTGCAAATAACGTATCGAAGGATAATACCGTCCCTATCATAAGTTTTAGCTTGAGAAAAGGCTAATAAAAAATTTCAGATTCGTCTAAGAATTTAACTGCGATTTTCGAGGATTGTCTTTCTTGCATAGTACCAAGATATTGCGATATTTGAACAACAAGATCCCTGTAAAGAGGAAATATTCCCTAGAATCTTCTAAGGGAAACTGAGTTACGTAACGCCCGGCCGTATCCTGGAAATTACTTCTGCACCCGTCAGAATAGCTAACAATGAGTTTCAGATGACACAAAATCGGTCTGCGGCTGCCCATAATATTTTGCGTTTATAACGGTATCATGAATGTTATACGGACTAATTACCTTTATATCTACACTTTAAGTTCGTATTTGGTGACACTGGCATGATCACTGCGTCTAAGAAGTAAAAACGGATAATAAAATGACTCATCTCGCCGGGACGTTGTTTTTTTTTGTTTTTACATTTCAATACAAGTGTGAATAACATGGAATCGGCGGATGGAGGAAGAAGAAAGCCTGAAAGTTACTGTATAAATGATATTTAGCATTTTATGGTAATACTATTTCCAAAAGAGAGAATCTGACGCTTTCAAATTGTACCTGAAAATAAGCATTGTAAACGCTAGTAAAGTTTGATTGAATAAATGTTGTTGTTCGGACGGAAATAATGTAAACTCTATATTTTTAGTTCTTTCTTTGGTACCTCTTAATAAAACACCTCTTCTTAGCCCACTTCAACCGACCAAAATAAATATATTAGGGAGTAAAGACGACGACGTCAAGGCAGTGATTCAAACGTGATCAAACGTCGTTGATGCAAACTTTGAACACACCTGTTTTCTGTTGGACCCCTGTCAATTTTTCAAATGTAGGCGACATTTCTTGGAGTTGAATTCCTAAGGAACTTATCCATGTTCAAAAACCGAGTCGTCGTATGACCAAGTACTCCATAAACCGTCGCCTTAGACGGTTTCACGTCGTAGTCGTGCAATGTCGACGTCAAAGAAATGCCGGCAAGCGAGAGCCGTCAGGTTTGCTGATAAAAACAATTGCTTTTTGACATTGCTGTTGTCGTTATCGTCGTGGTTGTCGAAGCTTAATATCAAGTAGCTACCACGTAGTTTTAATTAGAACTATGTAAAATTAAGCTACATATACAAAAACTGTACAAATAAAAGAGTTGTTTAAACAAAAATATCACTGAAAAGCACTGATCCCGCAATACAAACTAAGAGCTATAAGCTAAGAAACCCCCATGAACCCTTAAAGGGGAACTTCCGTTGTTAAGCTTACATCCCTACTGTTCTTCCTTTCAAATCTTGTACGGAAGAGACTTTGGAATACCCTAGTGGATTTCTGAAACAGTTGCCCCTCAAGTTACATTCCGACAAGTGTAAGCTCACACTTGGGAGATTAACGAATTCTGAGCGAAACGCTCGTCTTTGTTCACCAACAGGACGATTCTCTATCCACCTATATGTAAACAAGCCTACGTAGCTCTAGACTGACAATCATTACACACGGCTTTTGGGACAGAAGCAAAAAAACCTACAATCGGCATCCAACTAATTATGCAGAGAAAAGTTTTTATTAACGATGAAATACTACTATAAAAACGAGCGATTTTCAAGACCATAAGCCCCGTAATAACAACATGTACAGCAACGACAACAACCTCAACAACTACGGCAACTACAACATCTACAGCAGCTACAACAACTAAACAAATGCAGCAACTACACAACTACAGGAACTACAATAATTAAACAACTACAACAACTACAGCAAGTACACAATTACAGCAACTACAGAAGCTACAGCAACTACAGTAACTACAACAACTACAACAACTACACAACTACAGCAACTACACAACTACAGCAACTACAAGAACTACCATAACTACGCAACTACAAGAACTACAAGAACTACAGCAACTACACAACTACAGCAGCTATACAACTACGGCAACTACACAACTAAAACAACTACAGGAACTACACAACTACAGCAACTAAACAACTACAATAACTACACAACAACAGGAACTACACAACTACAACAACTCCAGGAACTACACAACTACAGCAACTTAACACAACTACAGTAACTAATATATAGATTTAGTCAGGGCTAAAAGCGATGCTCCCATTAATAAATTTATAATTTAAATCAAACAATTAACTTGTATTCCACAATTCAGTTAACTTTAGAGCTCATTCATGTGACTTTTCAGAAAAAGGCTAGGTGATTTTAGACAAAAATAATTTGCAAACAACCCCAGAGTGAACCAAATCTTACATCGAGTTGATGGCCTCATATGTACACCCAAAAACTGGCAATCGTCTTTGATTACATTTTTTAAGAGCCATAATGGCTCTTGATCACCGTAGGTTAATTAGCCCTGGAAAAAAGTTCCGGCCGAATTTTTTGCGTTCGACAAGTTTACTTTACAAAATATTGCCAACAAATCTGGGTTCGAGTAAACAAACCTTATATATCATTTATATATCACATCTGAGGTGAAACAGTACTATGAGGCACTGTTTTTATCATACAGACCTCGGACAACAGAATGCAGTATTTTACAGTTTTGCAATACAAATTGCTATCATTCAATATTCAGGACGATCGAAGCACGCGTGGGCTTTAGCTAAACCGTTAAAAAAATTTCCAAAATTCCCTATGCCGCCAGCCGGTTCTGACTTTTGCAGTGTTAACTGTGGCGAGTGTTTGAACGAACATTAACACAGTTAAGCTCCAATATAATAAAGAATTTATTACATTTATTTTTTATTTTAAAATGGTTTAACGCGCGGCATTTTGAGTACTCTGGGAAGCGTTGTTCACTGAACGACTGAAAACAATCGGCACAGCGATTAAAATTACAAGAGAGACTACTAACAATCAATAAAAGATATAAAATTCGGTGAAACATATACAGAGACGACAATTTTCATTCAGGAAGTCAAGTATTAAAATGTCTCTAAAAATCCTGAATCTTCGAGCTTAAAGCTGAAGTTTTTGTTTTAAGCTGGCTTCCCGGTGTTTGACGAACTCGAGGCAAGAAAATCGCTCAAAGCTTCTTTTACAGCCAGAATTATAACTAAAAATTCTTTGTAACGTGTTCTTTCTATTTGCGGTGAGAAAATGTTTAAAGGCTTTTTAAAGATCTGTAAGCTTATTTAAACCTGATACTCGGTCAGATCATTGTCTCAAATCTTACAAACGTGCGTAAACAAAAAAGCCGCATAAACTACGCTCGACTTCATTAAATTAGAAATAAAAAACAAACATCAAATACAATAATTACTCAGGCTTACCACTCGAGATGCAGCTCCTCAAAGGTATCAAGTAAGGCCAGTATCGTTTCAGACTTTGAAACCGTCTTACGCATTAAGCAAGGTGAAAACGAAAACGGTGCCAACCGAAATCGGATTTCCAGCTTTGACAAGTGACGTATTTCTCAACCAAAAACCCAATAAACAAACTAGCCATGAATAACAGAAGACTTCCAATAGCAGCTGAATTTCATTTTGTACATCCAGTGGAAAAAGACAGTTAAAAACATCACAAGTTGACACAAAACTCTGTCAGCTTCAGCTGTCAAAGTAAACAAGATTCAAGATGCTGCCTAAATTTTCCGCATGAACTCACCTGTCAAATTTTGACCAATCAGAGCATAAAAATTGGACGTAGAACGTGACCAACGCGTAAACATGGTGACAAAAGTCAAAAGCAACTGTCTTCCCTGCCTGTAGTAGCTGACTGAATTTTCCCATCCGAAGTCAGTTTGAAATCAAAATTTTAATTGTGCGGCAAATAAACACAACATATTTCATATGAATTTTTTTAAAAAAAATTAAGCTTGAGCCTGCGATCATTTGAAAACCAGTACCTTGTCAGCGGATAACTTCAAAAAATACTCGACCTCGATGGGTCGACACCTGAGCCCGCGATTCGCTCAAGTGAAACTGGTCAGCGGATACCTTGTTTTGACAAATGTCAATTAATCACAACATTGATGTCCAATATGTGTATCAGTTTTCCTGTGCTCCGATCCCAAACTAGCTAAAAAGTATGATTGAACATGGTTCGCGATCTAGTAAAACAGTTAACTGGTCAGTGGACAGCTTCCAAATAAATCACGTCACCTCGACGAGTTGACACATGAGCCCGCGATATGGTCATGGAATACTGGTCAGTGGCTATCCTGTTTTGACAGCTGTCAATTGACCATAATGTGAGTGTCATATATAAAGGATGAGGACTTGCCAAGACACGCCTGAGACACCCCTCCCTTCCTTTTGATAGTGTCCCCTACCCTACCCGTACAATCTGTAGACGCGTACGTACGTACGCTCGGTCAGTCACGTGACAACCAAGCGAAAAGAGGTTGACCATATTCCATGAGTATGGGGCTCTGTCCCACGCGCGCTTCGCGCCCCGCTACAAGAACTACAATAACTACACAAGCTACAACAACTCCAGGAACTACACAACTACAGCAACTACAACAACTACAACTACACAACTACAGGAAGTACACAACTACAGCAACTACAACAACTACAATAACTACACAACTACAACAACTACAGCAACTACACAACTACAGCAACTACAACAAATACAGAAACTACAGTAACTACAGCAACTACAACAACTACAGTAACTACAAGAACTACAATAACTACACAACTACAACAACTACAGCAACTACACAACTACAGCAACTACAACAACTACACAGCTACAGCAACTACACAACTACAGCAACTACAGCAACTACAAGAACTACAATAACTACAGGAACTACAACAACTACAGCAACTACAGCAACTACAACAACTTTAACAACTACACAACTATAGCAACTACCACAACTACAGAAGCTACAGCAACTACAACAACTACAGCAACTACAACAACCACAACAACTACAACAACTACAGCAACTACGCAACTACAGCAACTACACGACTACAGCAGCTACAGCAACTACAGAAACTACAGCAACTACAACAACTACATAACTACAGGAAATAGACCACTACAGGAACTACACGACTACAGGAACTACACAACTACAACAACTATAATAACTACACAACTACAGGAACTACACAACTACAGGAACCACACAACTACAGTAACTACAACAACTACAGGAACTACACAACTACAACAACTACAGGAACTACACAACTACAGAAACTACAACAACTACAACAACTACACAACTACAGCAACTACACAACTACACCAACTACACCAACTACAGCAACTACAAGAACTACAATAACTACACAACTACAGGAACTACAACAACTACAGCAACTACAGGAACTACAAGTACCGACCCACGAGTGCGTGTCCCTAACCTCTAATTTCAAGCATGTTCATTCGCACTCGACCACTTTACTAGCAAAATTTTTGAGATAAGTTATTTTATTAATTATATATGCTTTGCTTTAAAGTCCTTGAAATGCCTTTCGTTCCTTTTTGATGATGTAAGTGACATGAAATAAGGAACAATGGTTTATCCACCGAATTCTTTAGGACTAGCAAAAAATTGATCAGTGTCTAACGGATGTAAATTAGTGTCACGGCCTGACCATTATAACCATCGCATATATTTGTATTTACCGATTCTCCTCAACTTTTGTGTCACCCAGGAATTAAGTTTTAACATTTATAAGCTTATGAACCCCTCAGTTATTTTGAAAACAATCTCGGAGAGTAGTAATGAGGCAAAACTAAAAGCAGAGACGGTTTTTGGATGACCTCTTAGTCTCAATTCAGCCGTCTTTTGTGACGGAAAATGGGTACCTGTTCTTCGTACTTAGGCGCAGAAATTAAGAATTAATTCACACTCCGCCGGAGGAAATTTATTGGTTTATTGGTATTGGAGCGTTAAGCGTTCCTGTATATTTACCCAGGTTACGGCTCATTTAGATCCGGTTTGAATTCCCTGTTCAAAAACATCCTGTATCCCTGATCCATATAAAGTCTATATATGGTAAGTTAAATCCGGTTCCAGTGAAAGGCAAGGGTAAAAGCATGTGGAACAAAAAAAATTGAACTTAGGGAGATTGTATATTTACTCAGGCTAGGATTGTTACTGATTTGTCTAAAAGTACGTACTTAAAAAGTTAGGGCCTCCGGGTCCAGTTTTTCAGCATGCTTTCAGCACTAGCACTAGTACTGCTGTCTGGACTCTCAAAAGGCGCTGCCTCCCTTGCAGGACTCGGGCTCAATTTATGATATTTGTATATTGCAATATCATGTTTTTCATGATGTTCCACATTATATTTCGTGTTTTAAGGTTAATTCTCCTTTTAGTGGCTGACTTTGTATAAATTAGTGGAAGATTACATCACTGAGGCTCTGCTCATAAACTGCTGTTAGCTATTGAATGATGTAAACCGGGTTTGAATATCGCTGTTCTTCCTTGAACTGTGAAAGAATGGAAAAATTTTCGGCGTTAGTGCAAACACCTTTCATGCACAAATGTAACTGAATTATCCGGCTAGGGATATACGTGAGAGGCAGACAGGACTATTAAGCAAAGAAGTGGTCTAAGAACCGGTTATTTAAAATTATTATACCTAATTGTATTCTCTGGCACTATTATTTTGTCTTCTCGCTGGATTACACGTGGCAACAGTTAGTTCTGATAAGCTGCATATGGATTATCTATTAGTCAGTTATGAGAACAAAAGTTGAAGCTATATAGCTAGTCCTTAAGTTGCACACTCAATGGATGATTTTCCAAAGTAATCAGTCATTTGTGTTCCATGCAATAAAAGAATGATAAGATTTGATTTGTGCGAAATATCTATAATTTTCTTAGCCCTTATTATTATTCTGGATATCCAAAATCGAATCTGAAAATTGTTCAACAAACGAAGTCTAAGACACAGAGTGGGCCTCCAGATCTGTTTGTAAGTTGTTTATTTTAAGAATAGTTTTGGCTAAGGCGTAAGCCTTCTTGACACTTGGCAGCTGAATCTCGTTTTGCTAGCTTAAGTTGCGTAGTCTCGATATTTTTGACCAACTAGTTGGATTTCTCTAAAACAATTATTCCTCTCGCCCTCATGGCCTCTGAGTCAATAGCCCATTCGGCCTCATGGGCTATTGACTCAGAGCCCATTCGGGCTCGAGGAGTAATTGTTGAATATTCATCAACTTTATTCCTTGTGAAAAAGACCAATGTTAATGTCAAACCATAGGACTTGAGAAAACTCGCTTGTGTAAACGCTGCTTAAAAAAATGAACTGTCTAATTGTTGTTGTTGTTGTTTTATAGTATTACTAACTTCTTTGTTGACGTTAAATGCGGCCTTTCTGTGCTTTGTGTGGATAACAAATAACAAAGCCCCCACCACAAGAATCAATGCTGCGGTAGCGGCGACTAAAATCCAGAAAAGCAAAGAAACTCTTGAAGAGGGTGACGTGTCTCCTGAAGTAAATAGAAATGACAATGAAAGTTAAATGAAATGGAAATACGTGGACACGATACCTCTTTACTGCTGAGATCTTACTAAAAGTCCTCTCCCATTAATTTCTTCCAGCGGCTTCAGTACAAATCATAGAGAGAGGGACGAGTCGAGGGAGACTAGCCTCTTACGCAGGCGTTTTTAGGGGAGCTCGTTTTTCATCCCTCCCAACAAACGCCTGCTCAACCGAAAACAACATTGTTTTCGGTTGAGCGGGCGTTTGTGGGGAGGGATGAAAACGAACTCCCCTAAAAACGCCTGCATGGGAGGCTAGTGGGAGACATGATATACGCAAGCCGTGCTACACGTGTTATTCTCCCTCGGTGAACGCATTCATGTACTTATAACAGAACCTTAGTTCTCTATAAGATTAAAGTGCTCGAGCAATAAGTCTTTTCACGGTCACCCCATACAAGTAACTTCAGAGAGTCAATACTGGCAGTGATAAAAAATTGAGTTAATTAGTATTTCCATTCTCCCCCTGCATGAGTCTTCGTAATAGCTTAGATTCAGGTAAAACTAAAGCTGCACCAGGAAAAACCATCTTGTATTCTTCCATATGCCCTCTTGTCAATTAGTTTACACAAAATCAAGAAACCTTACAATAAAGAAACTTAATATAACTTGCTTTTCGCGGAGTCAGGTTTTCCTGTTGAGGAAAGCAATGTATTCCTGGAGACGCCACTCCCCATAGCGTTTGCTGCCTTGCAGGTGTAGTTACCAGCATGATGTTCTTGAAAGTTAAGAATGTGCATCTCTGAGATTGTGCTTTCTCTTCCCTGATAGGTCTTGGCCTTATCATCAAACCATTCTTTAGGGGCTTTAGGGTGCTGGAGATCCTTCGACAGCACATGTAAATATCACGTGTTCACCAGGGGAGGCAGCGAGACTTGCCGAATGGCGATAGAAAGAGATGACAGTGCTTTCTGGAGGAAAGATTGTTTCAATTCTATTAGTCGCATCCCTGGGGGGGAGGGAGGAGGGAGGTGGGTACTCTCAACAATTTTTAAATGGGGAGGCTCCACTCAGGGGTGCAACCCATTACCTCTTTGCCCCCTTATCCCCTAAAGTAATATTTTCTTTGAATGACACGAACACGTTTTTCGGATGAATTGAAACGGTTGGCACTGCAGGAAAAATAACGGAAAAAAAAGAAAGGAAAATCAACTTTACGAACGTATTTTACCTGTAAGAGGTGAGCGGAAAGCAGACATGAATTTTTGGATTCAGCACTGGATGGAGCATGCGCACTGGAGTGGGCTTCACCTAGCGCTGCATTGAGTTATCTTGTAGTCTTACTGAGTGAGCAGGTCTGATTTCTCTGAACAATAAATGTTAACCAACGCTCAGAGCCCTCTACTAATTCTTCGTTCCATTTTTTGAGTTACTGAGATAAAACAAAAAAGAAAAAACAGGAAAAGTCTTGTCTTCGAAAGGCTGTGTAATAATAAAGATGACCTAATTGTGAGTACTTTAGCTCCTAGCTACAGGGCACGTTTCTAAGGAAGGGACTATGAAAAATAAGACCCGTCTTAAGATAAAAAAATATATATAAATAGATATATCTTAAATAAGATACGTCTTCTGTCTTACGATAAACGTTTCATGACGTGTCTGAATGGTCGATTACTAACCAAAGGCAACTCCTTACCAGGGCTATATGAGGCATTCTATCACCATTGTGGACTACCACCTAGACTTGAGACTTTGTAGAAATTACGTGTTATTATTATTAAAAAAACATGCAAACAAACAAACAAACAAAAAACTACCCATGACAAATTAACGTGTTTGCAGCTCTTTGCCATAAAATTAGATTATAGTAACGCCAAGCAAATTCTGGTTTTTCTACTGCGGATTCACTTCCTTGACTTCCAGCGATGAAAAGAAGGACAACTTACCTTGGCTCAAACTCAATTTTGTAATTAGTGATCTTTGCCGGCCAGCCATCCGAGTTGTTTGCTTCGCACCAGTATTTTCCTTAATTGGTTAACTGGTTTGACCAATTCAAGAGTCAAGATCGAGAGTCCCTTTTCGCCAGTGGTGTTTGCCCTTGGTACAGGAATCCCATCCTTGAACCATGTTATTAGAGGGACTGGGAAACCTGATGCCTTACAAGTCATGCTGGCTTTACCACCAGAAGATATTAACACTTGTACTGGAGGGTTCACAGTGAAAACTGGAGGAATTTTTTCTGTAAAAAGAAAATAAAAAAAATAGAAAATAACAAACAATAAAAAAAGAAACTGATTTTAAAACAAAAATTTGAATTCTATATCAGCCGAGAAAAGGGATAAAATAAAGGGTGAACTCCTGAATGGAATTGGTGGACATTTGCGTTTGTGACGTTGGATAACCTTGACTGATTAGCCTTTAGTTAAATAATTTTCTGTTTGTTTTTTTCGTAGAAATTACGTACACTTATTGTAATATTAAATACAGTAAAATTCAACGCACTGTAAGTCAATATTACCTTTGAAATCTAACTGAATAGACCCGATTGTGCATTTCCGAGAATTTCTAGTTCAACAGGTGTAATTACCAGAATCGCTCCTTGATGCATTGTGAATGACATAGCTGCAAACCTTGCTTTCCTCCCTGTCGCTTCTGCGACCACCGCAACTTTTTATCGTAATTAACCGGCTATCATGGCCGAAATAGATTTGCATCCAATATGGCATGTCGTATATTGGGTCGGAAATACCCTCTTTCGAAGTGTTGCTGGTACAAGTTACTGTTACGTTGGACCCTATAGGTAACACCTCTTCTTCCGGGAGGGTGTTGATGGTAAGAGTAGGAGCGGAAGAAACTGTAAGGAGTTGAATTAAAGAGTGCATAGTGTTAACTATAGGTGTCTTA